TTTTAATATATATGATCGCATCTCATCAGGCGCTAGGAAATTAGAATTATAGGGCCGATTTTTTTTACATTTATTTTAATGCTCCAAAATTATTATTATTATATATATATATATATTTAAATACTTCATGAGATGTCAATCCTCAGCAAAGAAGAATTAATTATGAATATGTCATTTTCGTTTGTAATTGATTTCATCAGAGATCTTCTCTTAACCTTGGAGAGTAATTATACATTGTTTTGGTCAAATTAGAGTAAAATAGTGTTATGAAAATCTCAGACAACTCCAATAAATTATCATTTATAAGGTACAACGGTTCAAATCTTAATATAAAATTGAACAATTTTGTTGTTATATATATATATATATATATATATATATATATATATATATATATATATATATATATATATATATATATATATATATATATGTGTGTGTTGCGAATCTGATTGTTATATAGTACTAGATAAGTCAGTCGATCGAATAAGGTAATAATAGCCAAGAGAATTATGACCGTGACATTGCAGATGCGTTTCCACATCATTTGTTATAAATATCTTCAGACAGACACCGTTGGCAAGAGTTATTAGAAGAAAGGTTTCGTGTTCAGAAGAATCCGTGAATCCTCGCTATTCAACACGTTCTTGTCTTTGCAATTCTTCTTGTATCGTTCCCCTGGTCACAGACCCAGGTAATCTGCGAAAACTTCACCCAAGGCTGCCTATCAACTGAGTTAAAGATCGACATGTTTCGCTGATATTTCGACACATGGTCAAATACATACCCGAGGGTACAATATCTTTCTCAACTTCCTAATTTATTATTCATTACCTTTCACCCTCTCTTTCGCTTTGCTTCTTTTTATTCTTTTTCTTGTTCTTGTTGCCTCCTCCTCCCATTTTTTCCTTCATTTTTATTCTACTTCTTCATTCTACCTCAAATGTAATTCTTCCTTCCTTCTCATTTGTTTTACTTTCTCTCTTTTTCTCTCTCATTCTTTTTTCTTCTTCTATGCCTTTTTATATTTTTCTATTCAATTTTATATTCTTTCTTTATCCTCTTTCTCTATTATTTTAACACTATTTTTTACGCTCTTTTTCCTCCTCTTTTTCTTCATTTTCCTAATATTACTGTAATTGTCCTTGACAATACACTTTGCATCTTCGTTCCCACGTCTTCTTTTTCTCCCCGTTTGCTTTCAACACTTAATTCTCTTCTTTATCCTTTTCATCTTTATCTCGCTCATCAACTTTTTCTTAATCATCTTCCCTTCATCGCCGTCATCATCCTATACAGTCGTTCCCTGTTCTTCCTTCACGTTACGACTTCCGTTTTCATCGTCATCATCATCCTATACTTACATACTCTCTTCTTCCTTCACGTTCCAAATTTCATTTTCATCATCGACATCATCCTATACTTTCATTCTCTCTTTTTCCTTCACGTTCCAAATCTTCGTTTTCATCATCGTCATTATCATATAATTTAACTCTTTCTTCTTCCTTCACGTTACACCTGCTCGTTTCCATCGTCGTCATCATCCTATACTTTCATTCTCTCTTTTTTATTCACGTTACACCTCCTTGCTTCCATCGTCGTCCGTATCCTATACTTTCATTTGTCTTCTTCCTTTATGTTACAACACATCATTTTTATCGTCGTCATCATCCTATACTTTCATACTCTCTTTTTCCTTCACGTTCCAAATCTTCATTTTCATCGTCGTCATCATCCTGTTCATTCTATACAATTCCTCGTTTTCTTCTTCCATTTTGTCTTCGTTATTTTTACCTGTTGTTATCCTCAATCAACAATCAGTCCTGTATTATTCCTGAGAACTTGTCATAGATTTGTCTTTATAGGCCATTTCTTGCTGTCGTATGATACATTATGATATTATTACACTAATAATTAATGCTTTTCATTTGATGCCGCTAAGCAGAGTTACTACTTCTTTGACCTTACTAAAATTTTATGACGGAAATATCAATGACGCTATATCGATAATATCTGCAAGATGTTGTGCACTAACGTATGACTCCCTTAAAAATGAAGCCAGAAACCCGACTTCAAATTCAGACAGTGAGAAAATTTCTGTTTACTTCTCATTTCATCTCCACTGAACTAAATAGCAACGCAAACTGCGGTACCTAAACCTTGGCAACTACTCTAGAAAATGGTTAACTCTGAATTTGAAACCGTGTAGAAGATAAAAGTATAAAAACCATATACCTTTCCTAAGAAAAATTAACATGCACTGCTATAAAGTGATATAGGTTCGAAAAAACATTCCAAGGATCTTCAATGGAAATTAATAGGCAGCATATATCCGTAATAATCAAGAATTTTCCTCCTGTAGGCATACAAGAGACGATTATCTCCCTTTGGTTGCGATGAAGTCACGTGGGTTACGTAATGTTCGCTTAGTGACGTCATTTCCTACAGTTATGAAATTACCAGTAAATCAGCTTCAAGAAATCAAACCGTGCAAGTGCTAAATCTGTGTTCTTCAGCACATAGTGTAACTTACAAGCCGATGGTGTCGTTTCCTTTTAGAAATAAATATTCCCCAGATATACAAAAAATATATCTCGGTCTTGGAGTCCTTATTTTCCTTTTTTCCTTATTTTCTCGATGTCCCATCTACATTTAATCTGACATCCGATGAAAAGAGTTCAAACTGTCGACACTTATCCATAATTGTTTCCTATATTGCCTCGATATCCGTCTCTCTCTTTCTCTCGGCACCAACACATGAGATTTGATTATAGTGCTGAAAATATTCCTTATTCTTTTCGCCGTCGCAAATATTAAAACTTTATTTTGAAGCACATCTTTTGTTTGGAAATTAATTTTTCACTTATTTCATTTCGAAAGCCTCAGGTTTCATTATTATCAATTGCTCTGTCTTTACATTGAGCTCTCTTTAGATTTATATCTTCCTATATATTATATTGATTGATATTATATATATATATATATATATATATATATATATATATATATATATATATATATAATTTTTTCATGTTTTGGTTGCATAAAACGCCCTCTGAAAACCATGCATGTCTGTCATTTCAGCCATTCCATTCTGTCCGTAAAATAAAACCTTATTATATCATGGATATAATAAAGACAATAATGTATGAATGAAATTTGCTTATAAGCCTTTCTTTCATAGCTCAGTCATTAGCCATTAGCTAGCGAATATTTTATTAATATTTTAATTTTGATGGCTTATGTTTTTCCTTAGTATTACTTCGAAACTATTTCCAATACTATAAGGGACTGTTCAAAATTTGTTAGTATTCTTAGGTACAATAGATTTAAACATCGCATCCTCTTTCATACGCCATGTCTCCTCAGGTCCTGGCTGATCCTTTTCCTCCAAAACATATTGTACTTTATATCTTTCAGCAATATTTGCCCCCTCCTATACCTCCCAGCCTCTCTTCTGTTATTCATATCCAGAAACTCGTTAATTTGTTTAATCTCTGTATGCCGCCGTCATTTCTGGATCCATTATATTCCGTAAGTGTCAAGTCTGTCACGCTTATCTGATAGTGTAACCCAGATATTCTGTTTCTTTCTGCTTTTTATTATGAACATTGTGCTTGCATTTTTCTTATCATTTCCACATTGCTCTGCAACTGGTATTCTCAGCATCTTCTTGTTGAACGTTATCTCTGTTAAATTACATAAACCTAAATGAGAAATAAACTATCTTTACTTCTGAGGAAATTATCCACATAAGACAACAGAGATTATTATTTCGCGCTGTCTACTCAGTCCTATATGCATAGTGTTATAGTAAAACAACCTATCACACTCCGACAGTGATTGGTCAGTCTCAAGAGACGTGACGAAGTATTGTAGTAGCAGTAACACTACGGAACAGTGATGTATCTCCCGTTTTCAATATTATTATTGTTATTATTACGAACTCTTTCTCATTGTCCTTTCCGTACAAGAAAACCCATGTTATTTGTTTTACCTTATTCATGTGTTAGTGTAATCTTTCCACTCGGCATTACCTAGTTGCTTATATCGTATTATCCACGATATAACACATAGACAAATTGCTATCTGATAAAATATAGCTGTAATAAACTGAATTAAATATTAGTACTAAAGCAATAATAATACTTTATGTAAAAAGCAAACTAAAAATTTATATATACTCATTGCGGCTATATCTTCTGAGTACGGATTCTCAGCCAATTGTTTTTGGGAACATTCAAATTATATAATGTTTCTGTCTAAAATTATGCAATTTAGAAGCAGTAGGATCTCTCCGACAGTTGCAGAAAAAATAGGACAAAAACAGATAGGAACGTTCAGCTGCGAAAGCGAAGAGAGGTAGAATATTTTTATCAGAGAAAAGTGTGTTCAGAGACAGGTGGAAGCCAACTGGTTTCTTGTTTGAAAAAATATATATATAAATAATACTTGAATCTCTCTCAAGATAAACTACATCTAGTGTCACGCGAGAGCAGGATTATTTTGATAGAAATCATATCACTTTTTGATCATCAGTGGATATTTTTATATAAAACATAAAGATGGGGAAAAAGAAAATGTTTTTAGATTTTGTAATTATATATATATATATATATATATATATATATATATATATATAAAATTTTGCTTTAGGATCATGTATCGGTTTTTTAGGTATTTTATCTACTTTAAAACATTTTTTCTTTTCATTTTCACGTTCTTTATTTTCGAATGTTTCTTTTTTACGATGGGGATTTTTTTTTATTACTTCCCGTTTTCTCTGAGGTCCTCGTTAGATTTTGTGGTTATTTATTTGTCTGCGTTAATATATTTTTATTCTTTATTATTATTTTTCTCTTTTCAAGGCTTTTCGGGTTGTTTTGTTCTCTTTTGTTATTTTTTTTTAATTTTCTTATTTTACATTGGATCTTTGCCTTTGAAGATTGAAACTCTGTTTGAATTCATTTCAATGTTTTATATTTTCTCGTCATATATAT